AGGGCAGCCCTCTGCAAAAAGCTCCAGCCCCGCGGGAGCGCGGGCTGCAGGCCCAGAGCGCTCTCGGGCGCACAGACTGTGCCGCGCGGCAGCTTCCGCGCACGCTCGAGACCAGGGGTGTGGACCAGTTTGGTGGCTTAAAATTAGTGCTTAGAAGTCAGAGAAACAAACAAAAATAAGCGCCGCCGCGCTGGACTGCAGCCTCCTCCACAGCAGCAGAGCCTCTTCTGCTGCGCTCCGGGTCTGTGGGCTGCAGCGACTGGAGGACAACCCAAAAGTCAGGGAGGAGACAAGTCCCCAGTGCCACCCACCTCCCCTAAACACTGCACAGGGCCCCAGATCCGCATGAGCAACCCAGTGTCACGGCTGGATCCGGCCATGCTCCGGGCACAGGACAGACCCTCAGGAACACAGAGCTGGCCCCAGCCAGGGGCAGGGGCTCTTCTCCCACCAGCATAAGCAGCTTCCCTGTGTCTTCAGGGAACAGACACCCTGGAGATAAGCAGGTAGTGCAGGGATGGGTTGTCTGGGGCCTTGAGTAGCTTACAACTCCAAAGCTCCATTTATTTCAGACAAACCGGCCCCGCTGGTACTGCAGCGCGGGACACGCGTCGCACCTCAGCCCTGTGCTCCAGCGGCTCCACCGGGCTCGCCCTGCCACATTCCCTCCTCGTTTTGTCCAGCCAAGAGCATTTCCATCATCACGGAGCAGCAGGGAGCCCACAGCACCGTCTCCACAGTTGGGATCGGCGCCGATCATCATGCCCGCACGCGGAGCGAGCCGAGGGCTCCAGCTTCACGGCCCCTCGAGCCACAGCACAGCACGACGCACGGGCAGGACGCGGCGACGGCGGGAGCTACCTCTGCTTCGGGCCTCTGCACTCGCAGAAACTTCCTGAATAATTCATGCCTGGTGTAGGAGGAGAGAGAGGCAGATGTCTGCAAGAAAAGCAGGTCACTGAGTAAAGGAAGTCATGGAAGACAAGAGAAATGGGGACAGATACTCCCTTTCTGAAAAAAAAAAAAAATTATTATTTGTATATGAACTTCAGAGGGGCCCTGGTCACCACAGGACGCTTAGCAAGACCTGGCCTTCAGCATAGGAGGATTATTTTTGAACTTCCCTTTGTTTTTTTAATGAAGGAGCGAAAGGAAGCTCCCAGTCAGCACTACCACTCCCTTGAGCAGGGCAAAAGCAGGACGGCTGCACAAAGCCCTCCACAAAGTCCATAGGACGCCTTCCCCGTGCGTTCAGCCCAGGCTCCCCTCCACGCGCAGAGCGGCCGACACTCAGGGGGAGCGGGAGGAGCTGAGCGCGGTCAGAACCGCCCTGCAGCAAGGAAGGCTCCTTCCCCTCATCCTCGCTGCCCCGCAGTCCTGCTCACTCACTCCTAGTGTGGGAGAAGCCGACGCTGCCTTCCCTCCCAACGCCTGCCTTCAAACGGAGAGGATGTGCGACAGCCACGGAGATGCAAGAGGAAGGAAAGCGTGAGGGGACATTGCCAAGACTTCAAACGATTTCAGTATCAAACTGCCTCGCTTGTGCCATGATCCGAGACACCTTCAAGCTCCTGCACCCTGGAGGAAACTCCCCTGCATGAGAGGCCTGACGGTCATCCTGACCCGCCGGTCATCCCGACCTGCTTGCCCGGGCAGCAACACCTCCAGGGCCAACGAAGAGCCTGCGGGGCGTCCGAGGCAGTGCTGACCACGGGACGTCCCAACAGCCGCTCCAAACACGCACTTACCAAGCCAAATGCAAACACATCCCTTGACGATGCCCTAAAATAAACCCCTCGAGAGGACAAGCGAGCCCCACGCTCATTACCCAGACCCATCACCAGTCAGGCCATTCAGCGAGCGGGGCTCACAGCAAACCGCAGCGCTGCCAGAAGAGCCTTTCGGGAGCGCCCTTCCCTGCAGCGCAGCTGCGAAACGGAGCAGACCCGCTCCCTGTCCCACCCCGACACGCAGCAGCAGCTCCCACCTTCAGGAACATCGTTATCCACATTCACACGGGCACCGTGAAGGCTTCTAATAGACTTTAAAACTTGACAAGAACTCAGACTTCTCGTACTCACACAGGACACGGGCACGGCAGCACCTGCCTAGGTTAAACCACCACCTAGAGATGGCCACGCTCATCTAGATTCAGAGGGAAGAGCTGGATCAAACCCTGCATTCTCCCAAGGCTCTCAGCTCACCGAACAACTTGATGGAATCACTGCCAATTGGCAGCAGCATATAAGGGACTTTGTGAGTTAACCAAAGTATAGAGGAGGTTAGAAATGATGGCGCATGGAGGGAAGCCGGCGAGCAATGCGAGTCATGCCGGGCACGGACGGCAACACCCAAATTCTGTTCCCAACCCCGCCAGCAACCGGCCACAGAGGAAAAGCCCTGCATCCCAGGCCAGCACACCAGGGACCCTAACCCTTCCTAGGGAAGCGCTTCGCAGACCCTTCTTTGAGGAACTTCCGTGCTCGTGTGTCCCCGCACACGTGTCCCTGCGTGCGCGCGGTGCGCCTGCTGCTGCACTGCTGCTAGCAACAGGGCAACGGCGACACGAAGACTGACTCATCCACGCCCTGACCCACTGCATCCTTGCCTCCTGGAAACCAACGGAATAAACTCCCGGCGCCCTTGGAGGAATTAAAATTTAATCCAAGAATGTATTCAATAGAGGCTAGAAAACAATTCAGTCGTAAAAACATCCTTATCTTCAGAGAGCAGTGAACTTTCTTCCTGTCCCAACGCAGACAGTCTTTGCAGCTTTGGCTAGTGAAAGTCTGCAGCGCAGGACTGCACCATTCCACATGCCAGGAAGCACGGCAGCTGTCCCGCACCGGAGCAAAGCGAGGCAGGGATCCCCTGCAAGTGCGTGCAAGCACGCCGGCAACCCAAATTAGCCAGCGTATGCAAATGCCCCTAGAGAAAGGCAAATCACACCCATGGAGAGCACCAAAAAGCGCGTGTCACACAGCGCGACGCGGCACGCACGGAGCAACCGCCCTGGGGACAGCCGCCTGCCCTGGGAAATCCACTCAACCCGAGCTTTGACCCATCTGCAGAGTGTAGAAATAAACGTCATGACCCTCAACTTCAGCTATAAAATTTATTTCCAATAAATAAAGAACACAGCACTGATGTGTTCCCAAGCGAAATGAATTCCCCAGGAACAGTCAGGCTGTATTGCAGCTCGTAAGCAAACACGATGCACAAAAACCTCCCACCTCAGATCTGCATAACAATCTGCTTACTAGTGGTGGGGTTTTTGTTTGTTTGTTTTCTAACGCAAAATGTGATGAACTGATACACAAGGGACTTTGCAACACAGGATCTGCAGGAGGAGACCGGCAGCACAAGGGGAAGCGACGCACGCAGGGCGCAACCCCCGGCAGCTGCGACTCCAGCTCCGCAGGCGCCCGTCCCAAAGGAATGTCACCTGTCCCCGCACTGCGTGGGCGCTGTGGCTCCCGAAATAACCCCGCGGCATCCCAAAGGGCACACGGGTGCAAGGGATGCGCTTCGCTGCGCACACACACGATCCCTCTCCTCCCGTTCCTCCATCCCCGCTGACAAGCGAGGGGGAAGTGAAGGGAGGCAGAACACAGCGCGGATGAGAGCTCGGCTGGGGGGCGCTCTGCTCGCCCAGCACGGACGCCCTGCAGGGAAGCGTCATCACCTGGGCCGCTTCCCTGGAAGAGACAAACCCAGAAAACCCCAAATCACTTCAGCGGGGAAACTGCAGAGATGCAGCTGCCGAGGTGCAAATTCCACCTGATGCAACAGACCTAACTGCACTGCCCGGCAGCCCGGGCGCGTGAAACTCTGGAGTCTTTTGGCCCCAGAGATGGGGCAAGATTAACACGTTCATACGACGGGTGCTCGTGGGAACAGCGGCTCGGTACGAAGCAGCGCTGCGAGAACACAGGGTTGCAACACCCCTGCGCCGGGTCTTCCCCCCCGGCACCGGGTCAGAACTTCCTCCTCGCCCAGCGCTCAAAATGAAACAGAAACGAAACCGGAGCGCCCTGCAGCTCTGCCCCACACCAGCGCCCGGCCAGCCGCAGCTTGTGCCGGTGCGGGCGGCGCGGGACGCGGCGGTGGCACGGCTGGAGCACAGCCGTCCCCACGGTGTCCCGGCTTCCCAGGCAGCCCCGGCAGCACCGCGGGGTCGCCAGGACAAACTTGTTTCCAGGCAATCCGAAGCTCCGCTCTGCTCCGTCGGAATCCTCGCTGCCGCCACCGCCCCGATGGGAACGTTCCCGGCGGCTCCGCAATGCCGCGGGGGCGGGCGAGACCCTCCAGCAGGGCTAGGAAGGGGGCGAGGAACGTGCCCAGGACCCAGCTAGACCAAGGCTGGTCCTGCAGCAGGACCATGGCTGGGCGCAGAGCTGGGGACGGGCACCGCGCTGTCCCCTGCCCTCTGTAAACCCAGCAGTGGGCATTTCAGTCGGGAGATGCAGGCAGAGCAAGGCTCCCTCGAGCCGTGCACAGGGACCGCAACCGCCACGAGGGAGGGGACCACGAGGGGCTGGGGGGACCTTGTTGGACCAGGAAGGCTGTGATGAACCTGGGCTGCCACCACAGAACAGGGGAGCCAGGATGGACCAGGATGGATGCCGTGGCCCTGGTGGCCTCCCATGGACTAGGTGGGCTCCCATGGACCAGAACAACAACCTTGGCCCACGTGGGCTCCCATTGCAGGCCAGCTGGGTTCCCATGGGCTGGGCTGGCCAGGTCAGCTCCCTTGGCCCAAGTGACCTCCCATGGACCAGGTAACCCAGGACGGCTCCCCTGGCTCAAGTGGGTCCCCACGATGACCCAGATGGACTCCTAGGAAGCAGGATCTGCCAGGACATCTCCCTTGGCTCAGGTAGACTCCCATGGACCATGGTCTGCAGGACATCTCCTTCGGCCCAGGTGGCCCCAGTGGCCACCACAGCCCCACAGGACCTGCCTGGGGGCAGCCCCGCGGTTCCCCGGACTCCACTTACTCTTGAGGGCAGCGACGAGCGACTTCCCGTCCTTGATGAGCTCCTTAATGAACTTGTTGGTCTTCTCGAGCTCGGCCTCGTGGGAGCGCAGCCGCTCGCGGAACTGCGGGCTGTCCAGGCAGCACTCGCTGAACTCCAGCGCC